TATATATATATATATATATATATATATATAAAAGAGAGTGTGTGTGTGTGTGTTTTGGTTCCAAGAATAAGAATTTTAATAGGGTTGAATCAGTCTGATAAACTTTTAAACATCTTGTACTTTCTTTTAATTTAAAGAGTAAAACATTTTAAAATAACCTTGCTTTTGATGATTCAGGTCAAAGGCCAAGACTTTGAAAAATAGAAGCCTAAGTTAACCTCCTGAATCTACTTGTAATGTAAAATAAATGGCCTGATTTGCAAAAGTGCTGGCCTCACCCAGCAGCTCACATTAGAGTCACTGGGAGTTGCTAAGTATTTAGCAGCTCATAGAATCAGATCATTTTGTTTAGGAGTCTCATTTTTTGACATGATTTTCAAAAATAGGGGCCTAATATTTGTTAGTGCTGCTGGCCACAGAACTGTTTTAACTATTGTTTTCAACTGGTAGTGACAGAGGTGGTTTGATTTAACAATAAAGACTCTTAAAGATGGTTGTTAGATGTTACATTTCTGGGGTGCGGTTTTTCCTTGATTTGCTTAGCCAAGAAGTGCTAAATCCTGCTAGTCTTATTTGCTTGACTAGTTCCACAGATTTCATTAGAACTATTTACATGAACAATGCAAGGAGGATTTGGCCTGTGATTATTTTCATGTGTCTAGAATAAAAATAGTAGAAATTGGAAAGAGAAAAGAAAGCCTAATAGATCAGCTAGAGCAGTGGGTCTCAAACTTTTTTTACTGGCGACCCCTTTTACATAGCAAGCCTCTGAGTGCAACCTGCCCCCCCCCCCACCCCTTATAAATTAAAAACACATTTTTATATATTTTACACCATTCTAAATGCTGGAGGCAAAGTGAGGTTTGGGGTGGAGGCTGACAGCTTGCGACCCCCCCATGTAATACCTCACGATCCCCTGAGGGGTCCCAACCCCCAGTTTGAGAATCTCTGAGCTAGAGCATTCCCTGACCTTGGGTATTCTACCACTGCACAAAGTCTGTAGTTCAAACTGTTCCTGTAACATTCCTGGACATCACAAATACAGAACTGATGCTCCCTTTGATAACATAAATGTTCTACATGGATTTGGGGAAGGAGGAAAAGTACAATTTGAGCATATTCTAGACAGTCTAAAAATTATTTTTTAAAATTATCTTAATTAAATTATATACTACACCAGGGGTCGGCAACCTTGCAGAAGTGGTGTGCCGAGTCTTCATTTATTCACTCTAATTTAAGGTTTCACATGCCAGTAATACATTTTAATGTTTTTAGAAGATCTCTTTCTATAAGTCTATAAATGTAACTAAACTATTGTATGTAAAGTAAATAAGATTTTTAAAATGTTTAAGAAACTTCATTTTACAATTAAATTAAAATGCAGAGCCCCCTGGACCGGTGGCCAGGACCCAGGCAGTGTGAGTGCCATTGAAAATCAGCTCGCGTGCCGCCTTTGGCATGTGTGCCATAGGTTGCCTACCCCTGTACTACACCATCTCATAAATAATGGCTGAATTCAAGGAAATCATCAGAACCCTGCAGTAAAATATGCCAAAGAAATCAGTGAAATAACACAGTTAATTCACATACAGTTCCGTTTGGCTGCAGCCTACTAGTCTGCCTGAATCAGCCCATGATGGATAGGAGCATCACAGTACTGTCGTAGCTTCCAGCAGAAGGATGAGGCCTGTCCTGCAAGATTCTGAGCACCCTCTATTCCTATTGCCTTACGAGGTAATCACAATGTCCCGAATACTTTCAGGAACAAGCCCTAGCCCCAAAGTGTTAAATAGGAGCAATTCATTAGCTTGTGGTGTTCATTTTAAGTACTGGATTCATTCATATGAGTGCCAAGGGAGTTGGGGCAGATCTTCAGTTGGTGTCATTGGTCATAGCTCCATTGAAGCCTGTGGAACTATGACAATTGATACCATCTGAAGATCTGCACCCATGTTCTAAATTTTCATGAGCAGTGGGGTTTTTTTACATATCTATATTTAATGTATAAAACTAGGTTTCCTTAGGCTTATCTGAAATAAATGTAACCTACTGTTTTGACTGGGGCACTTTCTGGTGTTCCGTATAAGATATTAAGCTAAGAGTCTAAATTGGTGTAATTTACTCTGTAAGGGGCTGACAAAAGGTGCAAGTTGCATCATTTGCAGCTCCCTTAGAGCCATTCTCTATCATGCAATTTACACCTCCCTTCCTCTCCTCCAAAATTGCCTCATTATCTTTGGCATAAACATTGCCATGAACACTGTACTAATTTGTAGATTCCTATAGCCAATGTAGAGAAGTATTATCCTCGGATAAGGGAAATAAGAGGTCTCAGGCACACAGGGAAGTCAAGTGTGCAAAGGCAATGCTACCCATACGGTAAAATGGGCCAGTTCCTCAACTGGTGTAAGCACGGAGAACTCCTCTGAAGTAAATGGAGCTTTATCAATTTACACTAGCTGAGGATTTGGACTGGAACAAGTATGTCTAAATAGCAAGACTGGAAGGAGGTTATGATTCAGTGTATCAGATTTGCTGTATGTACCATTGAGCAGAAACAACCAGATTTTGCTGAAGGGATGAAAATTAATCTAGGTTTGCAGAGTAGCTTGACCAGATGTCCCCTCTTATTCCCACATGTAGTATCTTTTCTTCCACTTAACATATGCATGCTTTCAAATCATAAACCTACTAAAATATAATTCTGTACACAGCGGTGCCATGCATTGAATTCATTTAGCTTAATCACCACATATGATTCCTCTCTGATTGCTTTCATACCTTCATACCTCCTGAACATTGTGTGTGCTCTCCAGGGCATGTGCACTAAGGGTGTCTAATATCTTTACATTATGCCTGTAGAAAGCTTTTTCTCCAGGACAGGGCTGACAGTTACCTGCAGTGTCCCCCAGGTGTTGACGACTCATTTAGTCTGTTTTACTCATCAAAGATCGCCATTGAATAAAAAATAATTTTCTTCCATCAGCTGCAAAATTTACACGAAAATCTTTTAAATAAAAATATCAGGCAGCAAAATACTCAATTCATCTCAGTTTGTACTCATTTTTTAAATAGCTTCCCCAGTTCCTATCTCGGTGGTGAGGGATGTCTCCTGGATTGCAACTTTAGCTTTATTTTCTAAGATAAGTCAATGGAAGGACTCTTGATGTTAATTTCATGGGCATTCGATTAGACCCATAGTGAAGTTAGATTTTCACTTACTTATGTTTGTCATACATGTATATTACAGTAAAAAACATCTGTGACTTATTTAGTGTTATGGCTCTTAACTTTATTATAAACCAGTTACTTTCATAAATTGCTACCAGCGTACATAGTTCAAGTCCACAGTGAATTAACGCTACACAATTTAATAGAGCTAAAAT